CCATCCCTGCTGCAAGCCTGAACCAAGAACTTTGCCATCACTGGGTGTCATTGATTCCATTTCACCCATTCTAGCTCTCATCTGTATTTCTTTCCTTTTAGGAATAAACCTTTAGATTTTAGATTCTAAAGGATTTGTGGGCAAGATCTGATTTGTATATTGACCCGGGTCTGGGGCTTGGGCCTTTGGGATCAAGAAAACCATTTTTCTTTTACTGGGGTATTGATTTTCATAACCATTTGTCCCCATAACAAGTGGCACTGGTGGTGATACTGGGAAACTGGAGTGTCTAAGGAATTGCTTGTGTGACTTGTGGTTAGCCAGTGGGGTGAGACCGAAGTCCTCTCTGGCTGGCTGGTTTGGTTTGCCTTAGAGGTGGAAAAACCCAGCCTTGGGCTGTGACTGCCCTGCTTGAAGCAATTCGTCCTGAATTGGCACTCTCACTTGGGTCGCACCAGAACCAGCCTCGTTACAGGAGCTGAGGTGGGTTCCCTACAAAACAAGACAAACGCACAGGAAAGGGGAGAGAAACGAACAGCTAAGAGGGAAAATGCAGCTTCTGTCTCTGTGTTGACTCTCACTTAACCTCACTGCTGGAAAAACGGGCCCAGCCCACGGTCTGACCAGCCACGCTGAGACCTGGCAAACTCGTACCAGTGTTGGGCTTGCTTACGGTATTGCTTTTAGCTTCCTCCAGGTGCAGGCTCACTGCTCTGTTGCAAAAGGTGCAGTTGTCTGGGCAGCCTCATACGGGCTCTCATTAGCCTGAGACAGAGAGAGGGTCAGGAGAGAGGAGAACAAAGGAAAATGGCCCAGAGGTGCTGACAGCAGGACCCTAAGTCTGACGTCCCAGGTGCCATTCAGACCAGGAGCCGGTGGAGGTGGCATCAGTTCCTTCTGCCTGGCCCACTCTGGCTAGGGCGTCGCCAGGACCAGGACGATGAAGCCCAGCACTGTCTGGTGGGTCTCAGGACATGACTGGCGGGAATGGTGAAGCTGAGTGACCCCCACCCCCAGACAAACAACGTCCGGAAGAGGCAGCAGCCTCATCCCGCTGGTCACCATGCAGGGCGGTGATTCCTTCCCATCTCTAGAACCTCACAGCCCCTGGGGTGTTCCCTGCAGAACCCCCAGGCTCAGGCCCCCCAGTACCAGTCTCTTGGGCTCCAGCTTTGCCTGACTTTATGAGCAATTTTGTGTCACAGGCTGTGTTGGGCTTTTGTTCCGGCACAGAGCGCTTGCCCCCTTCCTCCCCCAGGGCCTGTGGGGATGGGGGGGGGGGGAGGGCAGCCGGAGCACGAGAGCCCTCTTCAGAGAGAGCAGGGGATGGAACCGGGGGTGGGGGGGCTGCTCCAGGAGTCTCTGTCAGGCCCCTGCAGGCCTTACGCTGGGGAGAGGCCACACAAATTAACTTGCCCTGGGGGGCATGCAGGCTTGGCTGGGCAGCAGCCAAGCAGGCTCCCCACGCACCCCCCCTCCCAGCCCAGCTGGCGGGCCACAGCCCTGTGCCGCAGGCCCTCTGCAGGGGTGGTCAGTCCGCAGCTGCGGACGAGGGTGGGCACTCCAGGCCGGCAGCTGCCGACTCCAGCAGTCTGGGTATTTCCAGTGACACCACAAGCAAGAGCCTGGCGCTGAGTAGTCGTGAGCCCTGGTCCCCGCAGGGTACGCCGGGGAGAGCGGGAGGGGGAGTGAGGGCAGGATAACGGTGACCACAACGTTTGCAAAGCAGCCGCTGTGACAGATGTGGAACCGGCGTGTAATCAACAAGCAGATTAAGCCTTCGGGGTTAGGGGTCGCCTGTCTCTCTCCACGGGTCTGCTCCCAAACGGCCATTGTCATCTGTCCTCCCTGGGCGCGCTCAGTGGGGGGGCTGGAGCAAGCGGGCTTCGTGCCTACATAAGAACCCCCCCATGGCTCAGAAGCCCACCCCAGCCTCCTCTGGCCCTGCGGCTTAGCACGCCCACCCTGGCTTTCCCTCAGCCCCTGGCAGCCCCCCACAGTCCCTGGCTATTGATGGTGAGAGGGATGTCTGTGGGGCCAGGGCTCAGAACCTGCAGGAGCCAGGGTCAGAGATGGCAGCCCCGATTGGCCGCCCCCGTGCAGGGGGCTCCCCCACATCCACGGAGCTGGCGTCTTCCTGGATTTAGGGGGAGCCCCAGGGAGCCAAGCCCGGCTGAAGGGCGCTCATCCCTGCACCCCGGGGCAGGCGGGGGCCAGGAGCCAGACGGGGCCAGGCCTGGGAGGATGTCTGGGTCCTGCTCGGTGGTGGGCGACGTGGCTGTTTCCTGTTAGCAGGGCCTGGTCGGAGGGCGAAAGAGAGAACAGAGAATCCCAGGTGCAGCGGGCCCGGGGGCAGGGACAGTTAGTTACTCAGAAGCGAAGCAGCTCTTGGCTTGTGGGCTGGGTTGTGCAGGGGCTGGAGCACCCCCAAACCAGCAGCCCCACCCTGGCTCTGAGGCAGCTTTCGCCTCCCCCAGGGGCACAGAGGGAAGCAACAAGGTGGCTGCGAAGCCCGTTTCCCTCCGGCCCATCTCTGCAGCTGAAAGCCAGCCCCCTTGCCCCTGTCCACCCCGCACCAAGGCTGGGAGCAGAGCTGGGTCTCCGGGAGTGGGGACCTGGACAGGGGTAAGGGGACCGAGGCCACAGCTGGGGGTGGGCGTGGAGCCCTGGGCAGGGGCCAGCAGCCAGGACCCTAGGAGCAGCACCCAGGGCGTTGGGCTAGGAGTGGGGTGGGCCCCGGGAGCGGAGTCCTGGGAGCGGGGGTGGGGCCGGCAGCCAGGACCCAAGCCCCAGGTGAGATGAGGGATTGGGGAGCAGAGTGTGGGTGGAGGGCCAGGAGCAGGGCATAGGCGTGGGAAACACCCCCAGGTTTTATGCATGGAGCCAGCAGCTGGGGAGCGGGGTGCAGGGCCAGCAGCCCTGCATAAAACCTGGGGGTTCTGCAGCACCTCCCCCGCACCCTTACTTTCCACGCCTATGGCCATGGGGGGCCATGAATGACAGTCACTGTGTGCTGGTCCAAGCAGAAGCTGGGCTGACCCCTCCGTGCCACCCTGCCCCACACAACTCCTACGGGCCACTTTGCATTCTCCCCTGGTGAGGAGGGATCGCTGCCCCTGCCAAGCGCTCCCCCCCCCCGCTCACTGCCCCTTGCTGCCAGCTTGCCAGGGCGTGGCAGCTGCCCCTTTCTTGGCACTAGTGGAGCGGGGGAGTCAAAGCCCAGAGCAGCAGCACATGGAAACGGTGAGAGGGATGGTAAGAGCCACAGCCCAGCTGTGTCCTTTGGGCTGTTGTGTCCTTTGCTCCTTGCACAACAAAGCTCAGAGGAAGGAATCCCACAGGCATGGTGGGGCCCAAAGACCACGTGTACTGGCTAGATACAACATGCCAGGCCTGGCTCCATGCACACACGGCTGCGCTGATGGGGGTCAAGCGGCTTCTGAAACCCAGGACACGGTGAGCACCAGTAGAAGGCTCACAAATTTTAAAGGGACACCCCCCCTGCCCCCGTTCCCAGGCAGCCCAGACTGGCTGGTGGACTGGTGTTGGCAGCTGGGGTGTGGGGGTCTGAAAGGCAAAGCAGGGATAAGCCATTGCAAAGATGACTCGAGCCTCGGAGAAAGGGGGGATTGTGAGATTATAACTGCAAAAGGCAGAAAGCCTATTAACGACGGGAATCGATTTGCTGCCGACACGGAGAGAAAAGCGGTTCCCCTCCCCCTCGCCCTCCCCCTCCCCTGCCATGTCCTAATCTGCATGGTAATAAAAAGCTTAAGAATTTTTGTGGGGGTCAAGTCATAAATCCCCCCAGTGTATTGGAGCGGGACCGTCTGGGGTGACACCTCTGCTGGGCCAGAAGGGCTCAGCCTCCAGGGAGCCCCCCGGGGGGTTGTGACGACAGCAGCTCCCCCTTGGTCCAAGAACAAACTGTTTCCTGTGTGAAGCTGCGTCCTGAAAGAGGGACTGTCCTGGTTCCTTAGGGAGGGTGAGTCCCTGTCACAGGGCCGGGAGCAGCAGGCCAGAGCCCCATTGGTGTCAGTGGGGCCAGAGCCCCGCTGGTGGGACTTGGCCTCGTTCCATTCATTCAGCTACACTGGTCCACAGCAGCCAAGGGTCTGGCACGATTCGTGTTATCTGCGACACAGAAGCCCTGTCATGGCCCCGGACCTCACTGTGGCTGGGTGCTATACGTTACTAGGTGCATTACGGTAGCGCCCAGGAGCCCTGGGACCCATTGCGCTGGGTGCTGTAGCTTATTAGGTGCATTACGGTAGCACCCAGGAGCCCTGTCCTGGAGCAGGGGCCTATTGTGCTGGGTGCCGCACAAGCCCAAAACATCTCGCTGGTCCCGGCCCCCGAGAGCTCCCAGGCTGTGCAGCCCCAGCTCCATCATGCCGTTGTGGGGGCTTCTCGGGGGACTCCAGACAAGTTCATCCCAGTAAGTGGCCCCCGATTCATGAGCGGCTCGTTTCCAGGCCTGTCTCCCAGGGGTCAGGCCCAGCACCCCGCGCCCTGACCATGGGCTAGCAGGGCAGCTGACACCAACGGCAGCTGGAGAAGCAAAGGCCCGGCAGGCACCGCGTGCCCAGGGCTCTGGGGCTGAGCAGGGTGTGCCGACCCAGGCTCGCTCCCTTGGCCCCAGCCCACGCATGCTCATGGGGTTTCCGTTCAGTTTGCTGGCAGCTCTCGCGCTCTGCAGCCTACATCCCCATGGCCGGGGCACCCACCCTGCCACGTACCACAGGGCCCATTTCCACGAAGCGTGGGGCACGGAACTGTGCTCTGTTCAATCTGGCACCAGCGCTCAGGGTGTTGGCTGGATGCCTCTTGTCACCGACGCAGGGCCTCGCCCCGCCCTGGGGTCACCTCCAGCGCTCAGGTCCCATGGGGGCAGGTCTTGGATTCTGAGATCAGCTCTCGGTATCAGGTAGGGCACGTGGTCAAACCACAGGCCGCGTCGCACTCGGGGGTGGCCGCGGCAGAGCCTCGAAGAAGCGGGACGCTTGCTGCAGCTTCACAATGACAGAGATGCCTCCCCCAAACCAGGTGAGGGGCTGCAGGGGCTTTCCGGGGCAGGGGAGGGGACACCACTTGCTTGTTTGAATGTAAAACCATTTTCTCTGATTGGTTTTTCCGATCGTGGGTTTGAGTCATGAGCACCTGGTCCCACATGGGCCCACCTGGGATCCTCCAGCCCATGCAGGCTGGGATGGGTTCCAAGCCCGGAGCCTGGGGGCTGGGAGCAGAAAGGGACGTCGGGGCCCCGATCCTGCAGTGAGCTCCATGCTGACCCCTGCACCCACACAGAGCTCCAGAGCTGGCTCTGCAGGATAGCTGCTCTCTGCCCAGCCCACCAGGCACAGACACTGTGGGTCCCATGTCCCAAAGGCAGGGCAAAGCTCCACACTGGGGTCTCAGGGGCCGGGCGGTTGGGAAAGGCCAGCGTGGGGCCGCTGGGAAATCACACTGTCCCTGGGCAGTTCTTGGGCTCCGTCCGGCCCCAAGACACCATGAGCAGCCGCGCGTAGTGTGGGGCCCAAGGGCTGCTGTGAGGCAGGAGAAGGGAAGCCAGGCCCAGTTGCTGGGGTTTGCAGCCCCTTAGGGTTCAGCGCGCAGCCCAGTCAGAAGGAAACTGCAGGCCAGGGCCAAATTGCTGGTGTAACCACGGCAGTTTCCCTGAGTCAGCAGCACTCAGTTTGCCGATTTACCCGAGCTGGGCTCTGGCTCCACGCGGGTCTGAGCCGCAAGGGACAGAATCTGCGCTCTGATGGGATGGGATCCAGAGCGGGGTCTCCAGGCAGGGCTGGCCCCAGGTGTCCAGGGGCATCCCAGAGGACATCTGATCACCCAGGGGTCCAGAGAAGCTCAACGGGTTTTACACGTTTCTTCCCTCAAACATCTTGATTAGCAATTCAGGCAGCCACAAAGGGGAAAAGACCTGCCGGCCCCTGGGAAATCCCCCCACGAAGGACAGCACGTTCCCCATGTCTGAATGCCGGTGTGTGTCCACCGGTGCATCCAGGCTCAGCGCAGCATCACTGTGTGGGGTCCCACATCCAGGCTCAGCGCAGCATCACTGTGTGGGGTCCCAGTGCCTGTCTGTGGGGCCTGACGCAACTCATGAGACAGACGCACCCTCACCTCACCCCATGGGCACCTGATCTACAGAGACTCAGGCCCAGCATGGGTCAGTGACCGCAACTCCAGGCCTGAATGTCGAGCTCTGAGCAGCTCCGGTTCGGGGTGCCGAGCTCCGGTTCAGGGTGCCGAGCTCCGGTTCTGGGTGCCGAGGTCCGGTTCAGGGTGCCGAGGTCCGGTTCTGGGTGCCAAGCTCCGGTTCTGGGTGTTGAGCTCCAGGCAGCTCCAGTTCTGGGTGCCGAGTTCCAGTTTGGGGTGCTGAGCTCTGGTTCTGGGTGCTGAACACCAGTTCTGGGTGCCGAGTGTCAGGCAGCTCTGGTTCTGGGTGCCGAGCTCCAGGCAGCTCCAGTTCAGGATGCTGAGCACCTGTCCCCTCCATGACGCTCCCGTTTCGCACTCTGGTCACTGACACTTTCGTTGTTCGTCAGTGAAATGCCGAGCTGTTCAGGGCCTTGAGCTGCAGCCCAGGGCTGGGGGTGCTGCCCAGGTGCCCACGCTGCCAGGCTTCCAGGAGTTAAAGGAAACCACAGACGGGGCTGCTGCTCCCCCTTCCTGCAGGGCATCATGCCAGCCTGGCCCTCTCCCTACCTGGCAGCCCCCAGCACACGAGTCCCCAGCCCAGGGAGTGACACAGCAGCTCTCACAACTGGCAGCCCGGAAATCGCCCCCGCTGATCAGGGCTGGGTGTGAGACAGAAACGCAGTCACTGAATCCAGTGGCTCTTGGTGTGGCAGGGCCCGTCCCGAGGCACCAGCCATCTCCCCTGGGCTCAGCCTAGCTCCTACAGAACAGGCGCCCACATCACACAAACCCACCAACCCAGCGGGCACCAGCCAGCCCCCTCACTGGCAGCCCCAGCAGGGGACCCGGGCTGAGGGGCCAGAGAGACTCAGCTTCTCTCTGGTGTCTGTGCAAGGCGGGGCAATGGGGGGCCAGCACCAGACTGACACAGGACCCTTCCAGCTGCCCAGCCTGGCAGCATGTCCCTGGGGGTGAGGGTCCCGGGCTGGGCTGCAGGGCTGGTTGAGTGGGGCTTGTGCAACGGACATTGATCCCCTTGCTCTGCAGTGCTGTGGGTTGCTGTGTGGTGCTGTGACCTGGTGTGTGGTGCTGTGCGGTGTTGTTTTGCTGTGGGGTGTTGTGGTGCAGAGCAGCGTTGCAGTGGAATGCTGTATTGTGTTGCTGGGTAGCTGTGCTGTCTGGTGCTGTGTTGTGTTGCTCTATGGTGTGATGCTGTGTTGTGTTGCTCTGTAGCTGAGTGGTGTTCCTGTGTTGGTGTGCGGTGCTGTGCAGTGTTGGTGTACTGTGCTGTATTGCAGTGCTGTGTTGTGTTAATACGTTGCATTGCAATGCTGTGTTGTGTTGCTGTGTGGTGTAACCACGGTGCTACGTTGTGTTCTGTGGTGCTGTGGCTGTGCAGTGCCATGCTGTGTTGTTGTGTAGTGCTGTGTGCTGTAGCTGTGTGGTGCTGTGTTGTGTTGCTGTGTGCTGTGGCTGTGCAGTGCCGTGCTGTGTTGTTGTGTAGGGCTGCGTCGCAGTGCTGTGTTGTGTTGCCGTGTGCTGTAGCTGTGTGGTGCTGTGTTGTTGTGTAGTGCTGTGTGCTGTGGCTGTGCAGTGCCATGCTGTGTTGTTGTGTAGGGCTGCGTCGCAGTGCTGTGTTGTGTTGCTGTGTGCTGTAGCTGTGTGGTGCTGTGTTGTTGTGTAGGGCTGTATAGCAGTGCTGTGTTGTGTTGCTGTGTACTGTGGCTGTGGGATGCCACGTTGTGTCGTTGTGCGGTGCTGCGTTGCTCAGCGAAGCTTCTTGCTAATGACCCTGACGAAGTTTCGCCCTCACAGACCTTCAGCCCCTGGGCGGCCGAGCCCCCGGTCACCACCGACTTCTACTATGAGGACGAGGATGGGCTGTTCCCGGACGGGGGCAGCCCCCTGCCCGAGCTGTGCGAGAAGGGGCCCGTGCAGGACTTTGCCCGCACCTACCAGCCGGCCGCCTACCTGCTGCTGTCGCTGCTGGGCGTGGCGGGGAACGGGCTGGTGCTGCTCACCCACGCCCGCTACCGCCAGGCCCGCTCCGTGACCGACGTCTGCCTGCTGCACCTGGCCGTGGCCGACCTGCTGCTGCTGCTGACCTCGCTGCCCTTTGCCGTGACGGGCGCGCTGCAGGGCTGGCTGCTGGGCACCAGCACCTGCCAGACCCTGCAGGGCTTCTACGCCCTCAACTTCTACAGCGGCTTCCTCTTCCTGACCTGCATCAGCGTGGACCGCTACATGACCATCGTCCGGGCGCAAGTTGCCTGCCGCCTGCGCCCCCGGGCCCGCTGCTACGGCTGGCTCGCCGCCGGGCTGGCCTGGCTGCTCTCCACCCTGTTGGCACTGCCCCAGTTCGTCTACAGCCAGGCCAAGCAGCACCAGGGCCGCGAGCTCTGCAGGGTGCTCTTCCCTGCCGGCATTTCCAAGGCAGCCCGGGGAGCCACCAACCTGGCCCAGGTCATCCTGGGCTTCGTGCTGCCCTTCCTGGTCATGGCCTCCTGCTACACGGCCGTGGCCCGCACCCTGCTGGCTGCCCGCAGCTTCCAGCGGCACAAGGCCCTGCGCGTCATCCTGGCCCTGGTGCTTGTCTTTGTGGTCCTCCAGCTGCCCTACAGCCTGGTGGTGCTGCTGGACACGGCCGACATGCTAGGCAGCCGGGAGATGAGCTGTGCCCAGAGCCGCCGCAAGGACCTGGCTCTGGTAGTGACCAATGGCCTGGCCTTCGCCCGCTGCTGCCTGAACCCCGTGCTCTACGCCTTCGTGGGCGTGCGCTTCCGGAAGGAGCTGTGGCTCCTGGCCAGCGATGCTGGCTGCGTGGGCCGGGCACGGGATGGGCAGCGCCCCAGCTCCAGGCGCCGGGCATCACTCTCCACCTGCCTGGAGATGGTGTAGGGGGCGGTGCTGAGCGGGCTGGCCCAGGGCTCAGCCCTCTGCCCTGCCAGCCGGGAGGCCAGGGCTCCCCTCCCCGGCTGGCAGGGGGCAACTGGGGCAGGCTCATGGGAGGAGGCAGGGTCATGTTGTTACAGCCCCCTCCTCTGGCCACTCCAGGGGCACTGTTCACTGGCTGGTGCGGGGCGGGCTGGGGCGGGGGCGGTCTGTATAATGCCCAGCGCATGGGGGGAGGGGGCTAACACCCAGCACACTGGGGTGTGTGTGTGTCATGCCCAGAACACGCGGGGGGGGGGGGGTCTTTGTAACATCCAGCACAGTGCGGGGAGGGTCCATGTAACACCCAGCACTCTGGGGGGTGGGGGTGTCTGTGTAACGCCCAGCACACTGGGGCTGTCTGTGTAATGCTCAGCACGTTGGATGTGGGGGGGGGTCTGTGTAACACTCGGCACTCTGTGGGGTATCCGTGTAATTCCCAGCACAGTGGAAGGTCTGTATAATGCCCAGCACATGGGGGTGGGTTGTATAACGCCCAGCACGGGGTGGGGGAGGAATTGTGTAATGCCCAGCACACTGGGGGAGTCTGTGTAATGCCCAGCACATGGGGGTGGGTTGTATAACGCCCAGCACGGGGGGCGGGGGGGGGAATTGTGTAATGCCAGCGCATTGGAGGGTCTGTGTAATGCCCAGCACTATCTGGGGAAGTGGAAAAATAATCAGGCTTCCTCGTCTTCTTCCCCTGCAAACCAATAAAATGCCCTGGGCACCTGTGTGCGCTTGTTATTCGTGTGCATTTGATTCTTCATTAACTCCCCTGCTCCGGCCGCTCAGCTGCAGTGATGACTGGCCCTTTAAAGGGAGCTGGCTCTCAGCCTCCCTGCGACCTAGCTGGCTCCCATGTGCCCTGCCCTGGGCTCTGGGACAGAGAAGGGAAGGCCCCAGGCCTGAGAGACACTAGGGGCTTCAGCAGGGGCCTGGAGTGTGCAGGAGACTTGACTCCAGCCAGGTGGGCCTGGGAGCAGCTGCTGGGGAAGGAGCAGGGAGCAACACACTGGGGGGCCAGGCCAGGCAGGCTGGGAAGCTCAGCTGGGCGGAAGGGTGTGGGGTGCCAAGTGTCTGAGTGACTGGCAGAGCAGCTCCTCAGACTGGAGGTGCTGGGTGCAGCCTGCAGCTGGCCAGAAGACTCTGTCTTTCCAGCAGGCCAGACAGCCAAGTCACTGAGGGGAAACTGAGGCAAGGATGCTGCAGGGCCATGCCATGACGGGGTGCTCGGAGGCGGTGACCCCGTTACATGCAGTCTCATGATCAGAGCCAAGAACCAAGAGTCCAGGAGCTATAGACGGCAAGGCTTCGGGGCCTCTAGGATCAGGACCGGCACCTGGCCAGATGCTCTGAACCTTCCCCCCACCGGTGTGTTAATGGCCTATGGCTGTGTCAGCAACAATGAAGGATGGGGCCACATGTTCCCAGAGCTTCCCAGCCCCCTGCTACCAAATGCCGCTTTGCCAGGCAACCTGTGGGCCAGGGCTGGTGGTAACTGCAGCCGGCCTCGCTGGAAAGTGTGGCCCTGGAGCTGCAGCTGCAAAAGGAGGGGACGGCTGGCTGGGCAATAGGGGGGTGGCTGGGTGGCGGGGGGGGGGCGGAACCAGCTGACTGGCTGGGTGAGGGGGCTGCTTAGCGGCTCTCAGAGGGGTTTGCAGTGGTCCCATCGTTCCGCTCCAGGCCCTGGCTCACCTACTGGGAGCCTCCCTTGTCTCTGCCCCAGGTCCTGGGGGGCAGGATGCGGAGTCGGGGCATCTGTGCTGTGTCAGTTTCCCCCATTGATCACGCTGACCCCGCGTAGCCCTGGGCGGCGGCAGACACTTAACGAGCTTGTCAGGTGCTCCCCTGCCCCGGGGGCCAGCGGGCCAATGCTCGGTTGAAAGCGAGGGTCGTTCTGGCAGGAGAGCAGCGGGCCGGGAGCCTGGGGGTGCAATGGGCTAGAAATGGGACATGGCCAGGCCCACGTGGGGTGAATGTCTCTGACCCTCTGGCCAGGGATGCCCTGCAGGGGGCAGTAGAACCAAACTCTTCAGCCTGGTCGCTTGCCGCGCCCTGTGGTTAGTGGCCCAGACAGGTGAGTCAGCCCCGTGCCAGAGCATCTTGCAGGGTTGTGGGGCTCAGGGGCGTCCAGCCCCTCCAGGCCGGTGCCCAGCCTGCTCCCCTTTGTCTCCTCTGGCCCCATCCCCCAGGGCTGAGCAGTAGGCATTAGGGGGGCAGGGGGAGGGTGTTCTTGATCCCTGGCTCTTGGCTGGCAGACATGGCTACCCACACCGGGGGTGGGGAGAGGATCAGCCCTGGCTGGTGGCCCGCACAGGGCACCCGTGTATGGGAGTCACAGCTCAGCTGTAGTCCCCTCCCCCTCCCTGCACGTCGGGCTGGCAGAGCGTCTAATCTCAGTGCAAGGCCCACCCGACCCCAGGTCCCTGGGGAGAAGGGCCCAGCCTCCCTGTAGTCCTGTGCTCAGAGTCAGCCAGGTTGGGAGCCCAGGGTCTCTCCCTGGATGGCAGCATGGGAGGGGGACTCCCCCACCTGAGGTGACAAGTTTCACAACCTCCCGCCCCTTTGGGACCCCCCTAGCCTGGCTGTTCGGTTACTCTGCAAATGCCTTGCAATAATGGTGAAATGGGGCTAGCAGAGTGTGAGTGGGCTTCTATGTTTTCGAAGGGGGGGTGCCCTCCAGGGTCTTAAGTATCGGGGGTGGGGTAGGGTGTTCGCAGGCCAGAGGGCAGGTGAGAGTCGACACAGAAGCCAACACCCTGTTTCCTGCAACTGATGGCCTTCCCCTGCAAGGTGAGGAAAGGGTTGGAGAACAAAGGCTCCCGCCGGAAAGGAAAAAGCAGAGGAGGAGGGGCGGAGGGAAGTTTCAGTTTGGGGGGTGGGACAGAGGAAGTGAGACGTGGTTGTGCTCACGCCCCCAAAATGGCCCAGCTGAGGGGTCCCGTTCTCCACCTGCAAGCTCTGTTTTACCATTCCGTCGTCTAATAAACCTTCTGTTTTACTGGCGGTGAAGTCACGTCTGACTGGAAGTTGGGGGCAGGACCTCGCCCCAGGCCGGGGATCGCGGGGGAAGCACACGAGAGGCAGAGGTGCGACCAGTCAGACCAGGAAGGTGGAAGGGGTGAGCTGTCGAAGACAGGCTCACAGAAACCCCCAGAGTCCGACGACTCAGGGGAGCGTTCCACCCCCGGGACCCGTGACAACTGGTGGAGGGGGGATGTACTGACCCGTGGATGTGTTCCTGCAGAAGGACGGGGAGCAAACACGAGGGGGTTGAGACCGGCGAAGCCAGAGAGGAGGTTCGGGGTTAACCCCTGGAAGTGTGTGACCAGAGAAGGAGTGCAGAACAGGGTTCCCCGGGGATGCGAGGTCCAAGGGGCGGAAGTCGCACACCCTGCAAAGAGGTGGTGACCTCGAGAAGGGCGCACACTAGGGGTTCTCCCTGGAAACCGTGGGGGGAACACACGCCGTAGTCCACAACAACTTGGGAGGAGCGAGGACCCTCACCTCTCCTAAGAAGGACATTGTAACCCTGTGCAAAAAGAGAGGGTTGACATTGGAAGTTCACCAAAGCAGAGTTAATCGTGCAGCTGGAGGAGGAGACCCAAGAACAGTTCCGACCCCAACTGGGGCTATAGCAGGATCTGGGAGCAGTGGAGCGGGACCACACCCAAACGTCCCCGACCAGAGAGGGTTTCACGATCAGGTCCCCATCGGGGGATCGAGACGGACGGGATTGGAGCTGACTGAGAGAGCAAGAGGACGTGGGGGACAGCAGAGCCCAAAGAGCGCAAAGCAGCAGCAGAGAACGGCGGTGGGGGAGCGGAGGGCCTAGGGGACCCCCGGGGTGAGTGGGGATGATCCGGGGCCTAACCCAGAAAATTGGCCCCTGGTTAAGGAGGGGGGTGGACCCACTCACGCTTTGAGAGGTGGCGATTTGAACCAAGGGGACCCTGCGGAAAAGCCCGTGTCTACTCCCTTGGTCCCAAGCCAAACCCGTCAGCCAGATGGTTGGGGAGGGACACCCCACCCGACCCCAACCATATGTCGTGTGGAGTTTCTGGGCCACCCTCGACCTAGTGGGAGCAGAAGGTGATGGTCAATGGGGAGACATTCTTGGGGTGGCCAAAGGGCAGGCTCAAAACCTTCCCACGCCTCCACACCCCCTGACCTAAGGGAGGGTGTGAAAATGGAAGGGCCGGTGACCACCAAGGAATGGGAGAGATGCTGGGGCATCCATGGGAACGTTGGCGAACTCCCAGGTCCCCAAAGTGACCCCTCGTTCGATCTCGAAGGGGGAGAGATGTGACGAAGTGGGAATTCTTAATGTTTCCTCTGAATAGTGTGGGGGGCCTCAGTTTCCTAGAGTTCTTAAGTATCTAGGGGGTGGGGTAAGGGTGTATGATCATTGCAGACCCTAGAGGGCAGTGTGTGCAGGAGTCTGGACACAGAGAATGCCAACACCCTGTTTCCTGGCAACTGATGCGGGCCCTTCCCCCTGCAAGGTGAGACTAAAGGGTTGGAGAACAAAGGAATCAGGTGACCACCTGGCCGGGAAAGGAACAAAGCCCAGAGGAGGAGGGGCTGGAGGGAAGTTTCAGTTTGGGGCTGGCTGGGACATGGAGTGAAGTGCAGACGTGGTTGTCTGGCTCACTGCCCCCCAAAATGGACCCAGCTGAGGGGTCCCGTTCTCTGCACCTGCAAGCTCTGTTTTAGACCATGTTCCTGTCGTCTAATAAACCTTCTGTTTTACTGGCTGGCTGAGAGTCACGTCTGACTGCGAAGTTGGGGTGCAGACCCTCTGGCTTCCCCAGGAGCCCCGCCTGAGCGGACTCGCTGGGGGAAGCACACGGAGAGGCAGAGGATGCTGAATGCTCCGAGGTCAGACCCAGGAAGGTGGAAGCCGGGTGAGCTGTGTGTCCTGAAGACAGGCTGCTCACAGAAAGGCGACTACCCCAGAGTCT